CGCCGCGTTCATCCGCTTTCGAATCGGGATGCGCCGGTTCGAGTAGGTCACCGTGAAGACGACGTAGGCGGACACCGTGCCCAGCGCCGCGGCGGCGTGGGCCGGGCCGAAGCTGAACGAGACGATGGACGTCACGAGCGCGATCTCCAGCGCCGTCGGCGCGACGTTGAAGAGCGTCATCGACACGAGGTAGTTGATGGACCGCGCGCCGCGGTCGATGACGCGGCTCAGCTGCCCCGTCTTGCGGTCCAGGTGGAAGGCCAAATCCAGCGCCGTCAGGTGCTCGTAGACGCCCCGCGCGACAACGCGGATCGCGCGCTGCGACACGGCCGCGAAGACGTAGTTCCGCAGCTCCTTGAGGCCGCTGTCGCCGAGGCGCGCGATGCCGTAGCCCAGGAGGCACGCCGTCGGCGCCGCCAATGCGAGCGACGCGGCCCCGTCCAGCGCGCCGGCGTCGGAGACCGCGCCGAGGCCGTCGACGGCCTCCTTGAAGAGGAACGGCGTCGCGATCGTCATGCCCTTGGCGCCGACGAGCAGCGCCGCGCTGCCGGCGACGCGCCGCTTGATCGCGGCCGCCTCGTCGTCCGTCGGCGGCGCGCCGACGGCGTGCTTCCGGTCGCCGTCGCTGCCCGTGGGCCAGAGCTGGGCTTTCAAGAGACCTAGAATGCGCCGCCGCCGCTTCGCCGCCGCGTCCTCGGCCGGCTCGTCCTCGCCGACGACGGAGAGGCACCGCGCCGGCTGCTGCCAGGGTACGTGCACGCGCGTCGCGCGGCGCGCGAGGCGGGCGCCATGGCGGCGCGCGACGAGGAGCATCACGTAATGACACGAGCCACTGCCTTTTGGCCTGTTTCAGCCGCTGGCGCCGCCGCCGTCTGGCCGAGACGGCGGCTGTACCGCGTCGATTTGAGCGCGGTAAAGCCGTGACGCGCGGCGCATAGACCCAACGCGTGGGCCTGACTACTTTTTTCCAGCGAATCGCGGGCGCGCGGGCGCGCGGAGGTCGCGCTCTCGACGAATATATGCTCAAATCGTGTCGATCCCACCTCTCCGAGCCGCTCGTGGCATCATAGAGAGCCGTTTTGTTACCGCGGTCTGCTCCATACACGCCTCGAGCGGACTGAACCGCGAGAACACCCTCGGGGACTGTTTCGACTCCGCGGCCGCGCGTTCGAGACGAGCGCCGAAACGCCGACACGACCGCGAACGCTGCCAAAACGCCGACGGACGCCAAGACGCGGAACCGCTTGCGCAGCGCGACGATGGGGTAC